GCATAATGAGGTTAACATGGTAAAAGTCTGCAGACCCAACATGGCGGCACGAGTTTGTTCGTAGTCGCCGTTTCTAATTCATAAAAAAGTAACTCTTTACTAGTCGAAGAATTAAAAAAAAAATGGCTGATTGTCTTCTCAGTCAGAGGTCAGTTGGAGAGACGTTGTGATTGGCTTAGATGATTGTCAATTAGAACACTCATTAACATAATTACCCGTTGAAAAATCGACGGGTTCCTGCAGTGTCGATAGAGGGCCAGGCAAAATAAACCAGTCGGGGGTGATTTCGCACTTACAGGGGACTTTGCGCTAACACCTTCATTTCACGATTTTTTTTTTATTTTATTTAAACTACAAAAACAAATTAATCGCCCTGACTGTGCCAGTCTAAGTCGATACCTGAAAATAATCTGCCTGGATTTTCAACTGTGAGCTTAATCATTACCGCTGTGATAGAAAATAACATTAAATTCTTCCCTATAATGTGCATAAAAACCCTAAATCTTTGTTGGATCTACCGCTGTATGCATATTTTCACAAAGGCGCCTCAACTTATACGTGGCTGATGGATTAAAATGACAGTAGCTGCAATATATAGATATGTTTAATTTGACAAAATTTAATAATATGTTGTCTCATACAGCAATGTGTTTTCAACTTCAGAACAATTACCTCAATAATAAATCGACCGACTATTAAGAGTTGATCAGACCATATATGAACTGAAAATGTCGATGAAAAATGGTACATGCAGGGATCTCGCCAGCCCAACGTGAATGCCGGTCGGTCATGAATATTAATGAGCTCGTGCAGATGGTCAATTACTGATGTCAGCCACCGTAAGAGCAGGGCGTTTCAACTGACTCGTCTAAGCATTACGTCTTATTCGTGGGGTCATTGAGTTCGGAAAAACACGTTGTGTTGAGTAAACACAAACTGAAATAGCCACATATTGTTATGGCGTCGAAATATTTTTTCAAGGGCTTTGTTCAGGCAATAAACTATTCGGTTATTCACAACAAATCGCAGCAAAATATCGTCTGCACACGCTACCCTCAATTTCTTTCATTCAATTACGTCATTCTATGATCAACGTCAGTACAGTTTTTAGTACGATCTCGTAATCGCGCCAAGTACATCAAATGACGTGGCACAAAATGACGTGCATCGGATGGCGTGGTAATATGTAGATTTTTTATATTTGTTGGGATAAAAATGATTGTCAGTCGCTATTATGACTTTTCTTTGTACCAAATTTGAATAAAATCGGTACAGCCATGCGATATCGAAAGGACGAACACATAGATGAACAAAAATAACTGAACAGAGAATAACACCACATATATCTCTTTCTTATGTTAAGTATACTCTCGAAAATTTTGAAAACACGCTTACTAAAAATGTTCAATGAGATTGTACCTGAGCCGCTTTATGAATATCTCAATTGGGGAGAGCGTTTTATCGCATACAGTGTCTGGGTTCACAAGGCCATAGCTAGCGGGGGGCAGCTGCCCCCCTGAGTTTGGGAGTTTTAAACAAACAAAAAACTTAAAATAGAAAAGTTTCGGTTTGTACACGATTTGAAATAAAACATGGTAAGCCAGTTGTGTGTACTTTGTTTATATTTATTACTGAGCGCGTTGAAACTTTGACGCACAGTGGGTCAAACGTTTCCTTCAAGTATTTCTGATTGACACGTCAGCCATATCAGCTTCGAAGAAACGTTGCACACAACTGTCAATGTTGAATTTTTATAGTACAAGCAGTAATGTGAGGAATACCAGTATGATTGATGCATGACCTCGCCCTGACAGTATGTATGGCAGTAAATTCAACTGAAAATCGATCACACTCGCCACAATCTGATGATATAAATCACATCACGGCTTCTCTCTTTTTGGAATAATGTGGTGGCCCTGAAAATGGTCGTTTAGTTTGGTTGCTATGAAGCCACTAATCAAGCTCGATCACTTCATTATGATCTTCTTGGTGGTCGAGATTCCACAGGGTCTGCAATGCCTCACGGCGGCGGGAAGCAAATGACAGAATTTCATAAAAGATGCGGAATATATTCAAAAATATTGAATGTATTTTATCTTTTCTCGGATCATGTCATCCAAGATTTTGAGACGCGATTTGCTGATCAACACTGTGATCTGATAGCTTCACAAACACTTTTACCATGCAACATTGGTCATCATCAACCCATGTGACCTCAATCAACAACTACTATGGGAAATTGTTGCAAAGAGATGAATTTTTGAATATTGAAATTGAAAAGTGGATAACAAAGTTCAGTGATACACCAATTGAGCAACGCATAAATGATGCTGCTTCATCTCTTGCACAAACATCATTCCTTCCCCAAAAGTGATTTATTCAAGGAAAGCTAACTGGAGATAAATTAATATGCTATCGCCAAAGTTGTAAACATAAACTGTGTATTTTACAACTATCAATTGTATTGATCAGTCCTGTACATTACATTAATGTTGCAACTATATGAACGTATCAAGATGATTTTATTGTTAAAAATAGATAGATATACCCCCCCCCCTAGCCATTAACTTTAACATTAACGCAACTGCACACCTCTACGCCTTCATACATTTATACGCAATTAAAAAAATGCATTTGCTACCCCCCCCCACCCCCCAGTGAAAAAAAGCTAGCTACGGCCCTGGTTCATGGTAAAATAGTGAGCACACACTAGTCTACATTGGCTCACGGAATCTATGCAGAAAGCAATTCACCAGAGAAAGGTTGTTGGAATGGTAACGTAATATTTACATACGTCGGTTTCTACCTGTAATGCATATTTGGTTACTAAAATAAATTACGTCAAAGATCCACACACGTATGATATTGTCTACTGCTAGTAATGACTCGTATACTCCGTCTACCACTGATGCAAAGAATCCACACACGTATGATATTGTCTACTGCTAGTAATGACTCGTATACTCCGTCTACCACTGGTGCAAAGAATCCACACACGTATGATAATGTCTACTGCTAGTAATGACTCGTATACTCCGTCTACAACTGATGCAAAGAACCCACACACGTATGATATTGTCTACTGCTAGTAATGACTCGTATACTCCGTCTACCACTGATGCAAAGAATCCACACACGTATGATATTGTCGACTGCTAGTAAGGACTCGTATACTCCGTCTACCACTGATGCAAAGAATCCACACACGTATGATAATGTCTACTGCTGGTAATGAATCGTATACTCCGTCTACCACTGGTGCAAACTCATAACAACCACTATTGCCAGCATATTGAAGTCGTGTTGACGATGTATCGTAATAAATATAGTTTGATTTATTGCATTAATAAAGTAAATTAATCAATACTTTTTGTAAAACAGCTTTCTATCATTAATTTTTCTATGGCACACTGTTTTTGAGTCAGCTGGTCGTCTGAATTGTGTGTTGTTCTTCCTCTGTTTGAATCAGGTATCAAAATTACAGATTTGTCTGACTTGCTTATTATATTTGTTTGTTAGTGCATATTTTGCATACTTAGTTTGTTAAATAAATCCTGCCTTTCATTTTCATATTGGTTTTATCTGATAAAAAAATGCTCCTCGTCTTCTAATTCATTTGTAGTATGTCTCATATAGGGCATGTTCTATTCTTAACGTCTCTCTACTTTTCTCTGAAGAACATGCACACTTATTCTGACTTTTGTGAATTTTCTTATGAGATTTTTTTTCAAGACAAAGTTCTAGACCAAATCTTGTTGTTACAATATTGATGAAACAAGATTTTAAGTATTTATAAACAATTTATGTAATTTTGCTTTAACCTGTTTTGGATCCACAGATTTGCACCATATTACTATTAGTTAAAATAATAACCCAGAGTTTCGTGACATATTGTATTAACTTACTATAATTTAGAAAAAAAAATAATGCAGAAGAGTGTAAATGTGACACAGACATAAATTAGGCAACAAAAGCAAATGGCTAATATGTATTCACTAATTGAAGTGTCTTTAGTCTGGGTCCCTGGTGATGCGTTTGACTTGAATAGCGCTTTTAATTTCTATAACGCCATTATGATAGATATATAGTCAAACCATATGGTCTTCTAGTCCGAAATACAGAATAGTAAGTTTTATAAGCAATATATGATCAGTCAACAAAGTATGGTAAAATGGTTTCAGTCACAAAACAGTTTGCACGTATACAGGTCAAAGGAACAAAATAACTATGTACAATATTTTCACCGTTGCTTTCCTTTATATCAGAAAAACAGAAATTTCGAAGCAGACTCAATTTGCCAGAATTATTAACTTAGAATGTTACTCCTTGTAGCCATCAGTTACCGGTCGTAAAATCGATTTGTTGGATAACCGTGCTAATGTCATCTTCCTGTTTGAAGATTCCTTCATTTGCTTCGAATCATGAATGCGGAAGTTGATGTTGTGCAGCTTATTGGATGCATCGTAATCCTACATAAAAATGAAATGAAATAAAACCACATGAATTTCACACATACCAATAAAATAATAAGCAGTATAAGATCACCGGCGTTCAAGTCACATGTTGTCAAATCCTCTGACGTCATTGAAATATTCTAGATAGTATGCTAATTGTTCAAACTTTTGTTTTTTTCATATTTCAAAATATACTTATGTGTATCATCTCACTTACTTCAAACTTCAATATTTTTTTCTGCAACACATTGACAGTGGCTATATCATTATCATCATATCCAGTTTTACCAAGCACCTGTTGCTGTTTGCCCTGTAACTTCTCATGCGATATCGGTGTTGGCCGGCTACGTTTCTTGGTGTGTTCTGGAATACAAATCCATTTATAACTCATATGTACTTTTGTTATGTTCATCAGGGGGGTGCATAACTAGATCAATAATACATGAATAAAACATATGACCCAGCTGATATACGGAATGGCCCATGGATTAGAATAAATTTCCCACAGTAACACCTGAATCAAAATACAAATACTTCAGAGTGCTTATAATATTGAATATCAAAAGAAAAGGGTTTGCAATTAAACAAATATGTATAATTATATAGAAATTTCATATTTAGATAACTTAGAAAATCAGTTCCTGGTCGCAGTTTAGATTTTATATACTCAAATTACTGCCTCAAATCTACAACTGAAAAGCTCATTGCCATTTATATGCTATTTTGCCTGTTTACTCTGCAAATGTCATTGATGTGAAAAGATGTATAATAAGGAGGTTATTACAAGGATACTCAGTACGCCGTTGCATCGACTTCCGCTGCACTGCCTTCGTGCATACTTTGAGGTATCCTCGTAATAACCTCATAACTCCATACCTTTAAGTGTGTTCATTTGAGGTGACGTGGCTGTATTTTCCGATTCTAGTCTTATCAAACCTCTAGTTGGTATAGTTGTCTTGGCAACCTTGAATTCCCCTTTATTGGTAATCTTCTGTCCATCGTGCACCAACAATGCTGGCAAATGTAGATTTATCTAAAATATACATATTATTATATTCTTGTTTTGAACATATACGACATTGTATAGTAATTTACTTTCGACTACTTTCTAAGCAGTAAATACAAAATCAATTTATTTTTTAAAACTTTTAATTAGCAACGGTTATAATTATTTTACAACTAAACACATTGATGACATTACGTAAGATATTTAAATGAGTAATAATTAGTAAATTAATTATTCCATATATTGTAGTATTGTAGACTTACCTCAGAGGAGTCTGATTTAGAACCATCTACAGAAACCGAGTCACCAAAACTACGACTCACTACATTCACAGGCTTCAGATTCTGTTAACAGATAAAGTCATGTACTCAACTTTAGTGACAAGGAAACACACAAGGCAAGGATATGGTAGAGGATCTTTAACTGGCTTATACGTCTTTATAAATATTTGGAATATTTGGATTACCAAATGTAATATAGTGTAATTTATCAAATTGTAACATTTTAATAATAATTTATTGCTGATAGTAACTAAAATAGAGATAAATGAATGATTGATTATAAAAACAAATAGCTGGATTATGTAAATGTCTGGAGATTATACAAATGTTGTTGTGCATGTCATTACACATACAGAGGCTATTCGACTATGTCTCACTACATCACCATAGTTTTTGAAATCATTTCACAATAATAAAATAATACTTGACGACTGCTGACAAAAATGAATGCTGCAAAAAATGCACTGCTGTGCATTGACCAACTTGTAATATATAGCATAGGGATTCGGTATGATGCTTGACGACGACCACAATAACGAGCACGAAGTCCAGATAAATCCAGATAGTCTTTAGAGTATTACTCTGGGGAAATATAATTTGTATTCTTTGGGATCTAAAAAAAGTAAGTACACTTACCGGTAATTTGACGTAACGATCCTGGACAGGCTTTTTCATGATTTTTTTCTGTGATATAAACATCAAATATTACACAGAGAATAATTGAATATAATTGTCCTCCTATACAACAATAATCCAATAGACTAATTACCAATCTCCAGTAACGTGTTCAACGCATTATATGCTAAACACATAATTGTATTACTCACCACAACTCCTGTATCTTGCTGTCTCCTCTTCTTTTTCTCTAAAGCATCATGTAACATGGAATAATCAAATTCCTTGAAAAATACAATATTCGGTTTGTGAGTACAAATGCTCGGGATATATTTCAGACATATATGTGTAAAGGATGTTTGATAATAATGCACTAATTCAAAACAAAACATTAGTAGTTGCATGATAGTTTATCACCTGTTGTTTGAGACCATTCTTGAATAAACCAACAGTATCTTCTAATATATCAGATATATGTAAGCCCATCATTGATAAATTGTCTTTCCAATCGAAACCTTGACTTTGTTGACCAGGAACTTGGTTGTAATCTGGCAATTAGGAAATAACATATTAACATTTTGTATACATGCTTGTCTGAAGTTTCTGAATAGCTAGTATTGTTATGATTTAAAGATATAGTCAGCTAAAGATTAAACCTCCTAACAATAACAGTTTCACTTCTCACCTTGTCTGCTGTGAGGCATTCCTTGTGAACTTGGCAATTTCCTGGGAAAATAAAATAAAATAAAAT